ACCAATGTCCTCTCTCTCATAAAACAAAATGTAGGGTGTCTCCAGAGGCTCCAATAGATTCGATGCATCGCCAGAACACTTTGTGACACGACTATCGTCAAACTTGAACCAGTCCGTTTCGTTTTTGACCAAGGCGTAATAATGACCAAATTCAACGCCAGAACCACAGTGAACAATGACTGCATGAATATTATAATAGTGGTCTGCTAGATTGAAATGTTCATCTATTTCAAACCTTCCAAAGAGTTTCTTGCTTCCCTCAGAGGTTGAGTCTTGTTTGAAGAACATCAATGTTATTAAAATTTTCCTTAAACAGCCAAACACTGAATTGGATATCTTAGCAGAAGCTATAAATAAATCTCTCATAAATGGCATTTTTCCAGATTGCCTAAAAACTGCTCAAGTTATCCCATTATTCAAAGGAGGCGATTCTAATATACCTGCGAACTTCAGGCTTATTTCTTTACTGCCAACTGTATCTAAAATCGTAGAAAAGTAAATGAAAAAGTATTGAACTAATTTGATCTTATAGCCCTTAAAAAAACCTACAAAATGGTGTTTTGAAAAGATCGATAGCATAAAAACTAAGCGAGTCATTAATAAAAAACCAATAAATTTTTGAAACTCGTACAGGGTCTTTGACTTTTTGACTATATTTATGTGCTTCCTAGAGCCTTTATTATGTCAGATAGAAAAAAAAAGTTTTATGCTTATATTTGTTTGCTATTTGGACTATCGACTTTTATTTTACCGCATAATATACAGGGTGTTTTATTAATGTGGATGCTGCCTATACTTTTTCATTTTCGATGCAATTTTGTTTTTATCTTATAACTTCAAAAGATAATATAGGAAAAAAACCTCCAACTTCTGCTCAAAACATTTTTTTCTATCTGACATAATGAAGCCTCTAGGAAGCACGTAATTGAAGTCAAAGACCCTGTACATGACATTTCAATTAATAAAAAGATATTTGGGTAAAGAAAAAATAATTATAACCAGTATCCCATAAAGGTTTACTGTTGATAGTATAAATTAAAGTAGGGACCACTTACCAATTTATAAAAAATCAAACCGTTGAAGCAGGTATCCAGCATTTGATTTTTTAGAAAAAAAGTGGTGAACAAAATATTATACAACACAACACTTGACAAAATAAAATCAACTTTAAACGCAATAATTAATAGGATTACTTATTTTTTTGCACTTGTTGCACGGTCCAGTGAACTAACCGGTTTAAAAACGCCTCTGGCGATGCATCATCTCTTTTATAGCGCTCCGGGCATTGTTCATGTCTAAACAGGAAAAATCACCGCCTGACGCTAGTTGCACACACACCGATTTTCGATGGCCAGTATAAAATCCGCCGATATTTCATTGATAGCTAGTGCTTACACACTCACCGGATTCTTATCGGTCAATCAGTTGCTTTGTTGTCGTAATTAGCACGCACTACCAGAACGAAGTTAATGCGTAGTAACTACAATTTCAACGAGCATTCAAGACTGGAATGGTCGGTAAAAAACCGGTGAGTATGCAAGAGTGTATTTAGTCATGTACGCCACTACTTCCCGGTACTGCCGGCTATACAGTGGCAGTGGACGGCTGCTCACCGGTATTTTACCGGCGACGATCACCGGTAGGCATGTGTGCAAGGTCCCGTTCCCACATGTGGTTCACTATTGGAATTTGGACGACCGGTACAAAGTCGGCCGTCCAAAATCGGTCTGGGTGCAACTAGCGTGACATGTTCTCGCAACATAGGAATCGGCAGTAACTGGATGATATACTAATAAAATTTCGTGTGTATTTATACCTAATCCTATTAAATTTCCCAACTTTCATTTAATTTTTTCAAGTTAATTTTTGTTTTTTTTCGAAAATTATTGCAATCTTTGACCCTAGATTTTGGCGCCCCTAAAGCATGGCGCCCGTGTGCATTGCACACTTTGCACATATGGTAGCGGGGGCCCTGACCACAGTGAACTCTAACTTAAAGTTCGCCGTGAAACAGTGGCTTGTCTGCTCTCGGAAGCGGTCAGGGGCGCTATTCTTGAGATCCTTCGCAACTACGATCCTTCGCAACATTGGGAAGGGTCTACTTGCGAAGACTTATGGGAATGCTATTCTTGACCACCCTTCGCAAAGTGTAGGAAACGTAATCACTCGCACGATAAATTATTATTGGCAACACCGCATTAATGTTGGTTAGTCTATATATAAAGGTTGAATGTTATGTCAAATTTCAAATTATATGTTTGCCGCGAGTTATAGTCTACGATTATAGATTACTATTTGTTATAATTTAATAAAATATTAAAATTAGGTGTTCAAATATTCGATAATATTCATGATGAACGTCAACCAAAAGCATAGACAAGGTAATGCCTCATCAGAACAAAAACAGCTGTTTTGGAATTCTTAAAAAAAATCCGCGTCTCATAAGTGGAAAGTTTTCTAATGAGTTCAAATTTTGAGCTCAAATTTTGCGGCAGGAGCTAGCAGTGCTCCTCAATAGCTGCGGGGGTGGCACAAATACGGATTGGAAATCCTGTAGAAAGGTAAGAAGTATATCATAGTTGGTCAGTAGATAAGTTAACAATTTCAAATATGTTTCAGACATGGCATGATATAAGGTCAAGAACAAAAGTGAAACAGGGTGACTTCAACGGGCACCAAAATGGAACTGGTGGTGGACCCACTGTGCAGGATCCGAAAAATGAATTCGAGAGAGAGGTGCTTGAAACAATTGAACCTGTATCGATACAAGGTCATCTGAATATTAAAGAATCCTGCACAAATTCTACATTCAATACAAATGGAAAAGACGATCTTATTCCATTCGATCCAAGCGAAGGCAACCAAACAAATCCAATTGGTGATGTAGTGAATATTGATGAATTGCCACCTATTGAATTAGACTGTTGACCTTCTACATCGAAGGAAACACCTTGAACTTGTGTTCAAAAAAAGTTTCTTCGTGCATCAAAAAAGAAGTTGGTATATGCATCTGAGGCAGCAGCTAATTATAAGGTTTCTCTTGACCGGAAAAATTGTATTGAAGAAAAATACTATGAGGAAAAAATTATGATGATCAAAACGTTAGCTGCTGTAAAAGAAAAGTCTGCCGCTGCTGAAGAAAAGTTTGCCGCTGCTAAAGAAAAAGCTGCTGCTGCCAAGGAAAGAATAGCAGCTGCCACGGAAAGAACAGCAGCTGTCAAAGAAATATCAGCAGCTGCCAAGGAAAGAACAGCAGCTGCAATGGAAGAATGCATACACTATTTAAGAAATTTATTTGAGGCTATATCTTAAATAGAAGTTGTTTGCTGCAAATCCTTGTAAATATAAATTTTTTATGTCCAAAACAAGATATTTTATTGACGTAAATTATGTACTAGTAGAACCAATATTTTCATAAAACGGTTTTTTATGGAATTCTGGAAAAAATTCAAGTTTTTCAATATGATTTCGAAAATTTCAAAATCTACAGTAAGGTTACTGAGAAATAATCTTTATGGTTCGAATGAAACTTTATAAAACCATAAAATGGTTCATATGTATTTGATATTTCAGTGTTTGATGGTTAACCAGTATAATATATTAATATAATGGACATTCTGATAATGTACAAAATTATTCTAATTATTCCGAAAATAGTTATCTATTAGACGCTGCCTTGCTCTCCTTCCTGCAGCTAGCTGGGGATTTATGCGCCTCACTGGATTGTGCCCATCATTATTTTCATTGTTATCATTAAGATTTGCATTGAGAATAATTCCAAAGTCAATATTTTGTATATCTTCATTGTCATTCTCAGGCATTGGGATGTTATACTCTATACACATATTGTGAAGAACAACACACGAGTTTATTATCCTGCATACCACGGCTGGTTTATAATCCAAAGCTCTACGCTTAGAAAAACATCTGAATCTCATTTTCTAAACCCTATTACATCTTTCAATCATACTTCTGGTTTGTTTGTGGACTTTATTACAATTATGCTCTGGTCTACCTTCAGGTGGTTCATTTACATGGGGTGTTAAGAGCCATGTCCTCAGTGGATAACCAGTATCCCCTAAAACATATGTAATAATTCATTACAGATTACAGAAGATTGTGAAACAGATACAAAAATTTCTCTCCCGATGTCCATTTGATAACTTCTTGTTGAGAAGAAGCGTAATGCGACCAATACCTGAGGAATACGTTTTTCAATATCAATCTTACCCTGGTAGCAACGCTCATGTCAGTACGTCGTCGTTGTAGTCACATAAACGAAGATACCATATTAATTAATTATCTGCATAGCTCCTTGGTCATTCTAAAGGTCTGCAAAAACTGATGCTCACTCAAAACATCAAAAGGATCGATATTATCAAACCGATTAGGTTGATGTATTGGTTCCTCTGCTATTTCTAGGTTCTCTAAATTTCCTATATACTGCAGTTCATCCATTTTATATAAATTTATCAACTAGGTACAAATCAACTAATACGACAAATTTCAACCACTAAACATAAACTTTCTGAACCACTCTACCTAACCACAAAATTCTGTGACCTAACCTCTTCAAATTCGTTCGCAAATCGTTTGCGAACTACAAAGTTCGCTCGCAGTAAATTGCGAAAGGTCAAGAATACCATTACTCTAGGATCATTCGCAATATTCAAACTTGCGAATGACCTTAAAAGTTGCGAACGGTCAAGAATAGCGCCCCAGGCGACTGGTCGTCTAGGTACCGGCGACCAAATTTTGGTAGCAGCGAATTAGTCGCCACTAGAAAAACAGACGCATTTAAAAAGCATTGTAGATGTCTTGGCGAATCAGTCGTCGCTACTTTGTCGTAGTCGTCGGCGACCGGCGGCCGTGGAGGAAAACGTACCTTTATCTGCTGTTTACATTCTCTCTTTTTTCATTAATAAATGATATTATTATTATTATTATCTTCAGGTCGTTTTTCACTAACAATATTCACTGAATTTACATTTATATCTTACCTTGAAAGCTTCCCTGAATTTGTTCGACATTATATGATACAACACTGGATTAACAGTCGTGGAAAGGTAGTAAAATACCCCGCTGATATAGGTTAGGATTTGGAAGGCTTTTATCATGTGAGCTGAAGTGTGTTTGCCATAAATTGCGAGAAGACGCTGTGCATGAAATGGTGCCCAACAGATGAAGAATGCGACGACAACCGCAACTGAAATAAAAACGTGTGGTAAACGATTTGAATATTGTCTCAAAATATTTGTGATTCCAAAAATACGAACAATGATATCCAAAATGCATTTATACTGTCTTCACCAACAATAATAGTACAGGATCCCGCCGCAAAATCACTACGTGCATAGCGTAGTTAATCAAACTAAAATTTTTACATACATTTATGAATAGAAAAATATATTAACGACAGGTTGCCAGTCGAAAAGTGGCCGCCAATAAGTAAGAGGCGGGTCAATCCCCTTACGAAACCCTTCATCTAGTCTAGTTCACATGTATTTTTTTTGTAACATTTTTCAGCCCTGTCCAAAAATTACGACCAAGATGTCATTCGATTCGTATTTTTGCCTAGAAAGTTTAAGGGAAGGCCCGAAAACGCGCCGATAAAAATTACAAAAGTTATAAACAATTAAGTGAAAAAAAATGGGGCTTTAGTTTTTTATTAATATCTTGGAAAATTTTCAAAATTTTAGAAATTTGAAAAAAGATTTGGAAAGATCAATGAATTTGCGTAAAAAAAGTCCCAACTCCCGAAACTGTATCACGATTATTTATAATTTTTACAGAGCCCTGAAAATAGAGTCAAAAGCGGGTAGTCTGGCTTCCGCGTGCCGTTCGACACTCTTACATAAAAACAAAAAAAATTATTTAAACATTTTAAATGAAAATATTGAGGAATGAAAAAATTCATGTAATGTTGGGATACATCAATAAACAATAATCCGTAGTTCTATTAAAACAACGATAAAAAAAAATAAAAACAACAATAAAAATTAATTGGCGCTCCGGGGTGACTTCATTAATTATAAATCTATTAATTGATAACTTTTTCTGAATTGAAAGTTGATACGGAATCCCGACTTTCAGAAAGGACAAAATCCAAGATAAATACATCTCAGTTCCATACCACCAATATACGAGGAACTTTGTAAAGATTTTCTAAGAACTAGGTATGAAGGTGGTTTTTGAAACAAGTCATACAATACAGAGCCTTTTGTGAAGTCCAAAAGAAAAAGTCTAGAATTCGGAAAAGTCTGGAATTTACGAAATTGAATGTAAGGACTGCGATGCAAAATATTATGGACAGACAAAAAGATCTATTGAAGTAAGATATAAGGAACACATATCACACTTAAAATATGGAAGACCCGAAAAATCAGCAGTCGCCCATCATATTTTGCAACAAACCCATTCCATAGACTTCAGTTCATTGAGATTAGTTAGACAAGTTAACAACAATAGGCAACTAGATGCCTATGAGAGTGTAGAAATAAGTAAACATAATAATATTATGAATAACGATGACGGACCTATACCAAAGAGCATACTATATAGCTTGATAAAAGAAAATAAAATAATGTTGTTGGGTTTACTGATCACTACATAAGGACACATTGTAAAAATGAATTTGGATAGGCAATATTGTGATATTAATTTTTATATAGCTGAAAATTGTTTTATATAAACGTATATTGTAAAATAATAAATAAGGTAAAATTAATTTAGGTTGGTATACCTGTATGGTTGGTACGCCTGTACCAGTAATATTCTTTACAATAGATTATATTGAATGAAATATAAAAAATAAATTTTCTTTCGGTATGAACAAAAAAAGTACTAGAAAAATTGTATACAGATATATAGTCAATATAAATATAAACATTTAGCATGAACAAAAAAAGCACCAGAAAAATTATATACAGATATCACATCAAAATTACATAGTTAATAAAAATAAAACATTTAGGTTATACCTATGAATGAATGAATGAAAATCGTATATTTACAAATTTATAGTTGTTACAATTTTGTGAGTGTATGTGTTTGTGTAGGGCCCTGCTATAGGCTTATGCCTCTTCAGGGTGAGTGAGATATGTGTGTGTTTTGTGTTTTATGTTGGTGTTTGTGTTGTGTTGTTTTGTGTTCCAGTTTTCTTGGTTGGTTTTTATGTTGGTCCATGTGGTAGTCCGGGTTCGTTGCGGTGGTCGGTGGTCCTGATGATATGATTCAGTACGGGTTTTTGGGCCGGGGTTGTGTGTGTTTTAGGATATCGGTACTTTCCGTGGCGCTGCTGTCAGGTTTCCGTTATCTGTATCCCAGCGGGAAATCCTCTAGGATGTCCTGGATCGGCTCCGGCGGGTCTTCCATCGCGCCCAGGAGTCTGGCTGGGGGAAAGGGGAGCTTTTTCCTAGGTTTCCTTCGGGATCCTCCGCGAGGGATCCATGGTGATGTGAGCGTGTCGATGGCATCGGTGTTGTTGCTGCTCATCGTCCTGGTCGCATATCGTCCTCGGAGTTCCTGAAATCTATGGTTGATTGGTGTAGTATTTATGAGGTTGTATAAGTGTAGGGAAGGGTATCGGTAGTGTAGGTTATGTATGTTTCGTAGTATTCGTCGTTCAGTCGTAAGGATGCGGTGGGACAGTCTCGGAGGAAGCGTACAGTATACCACTGCTTTGTAGTCGAGGATTGGTCTTATATAGGTATTATAGGTATGAAGCAGTGTCCTACTGTCGCAGGTTATACCTATAATGAAACAGTCTCAATAGGTAAACTACATCGAACATCACTCATACATCAATCAAACAAATACCCCATTTTTGAGAAATGAAAAAAAAACAAACAAACCATGGAGAAGTTGACCTATAGATTACTTAACTCTAATCACATACATCTTCTACATACATTTATACATTGTAGTAATATGTATTTTTCACATCAACAAATTGGTGTATCTGTGCTCTAGGCAAACCTGAGATCCAAGATTTAAGCTCATTTTTGAACATATTAATGCCAAAGATATTAAACTTTATATTAAAACAACGATAAAAATAAAATAAAAACAACAATAAAAATTAATTGGCGCTCGGGGGCGACTTCATTGATTCCAGTGGCGCATTTGCTTTTTCAGCTGCAGGAAAACCCGGATCATAAATAAATAAATTATACTTATATGAAGTATTTAACGTAACGTATTTTCTGTATAACTGTCATCAAATGTGACATTTTATTGGTTGTCAAGAGTATTGAAAGATAATGTTCACAAAGTAGCGTGTGGAAAATATTTTTGACCCTAGTGTCAAAAGCATTTTCAACACGTTTTTTTGGATCAAATAGCAATAAACAAAACATGATTATTTTCAAGGAAGTTTTATTATGAACAATAGATACAGATACAATTAAATTTTGTTATAAATGTATTTATACATTAATTATATTGTTATTATCATTTATGAACATTAATGTGAAAGGTACAATTAGAACAACTGCTTATATTAATACCTTGCGATGTTGAAGATCTTTGTAATATATTTGAACTATGTGAGTTGACAATTTCATGGCATCAACATTTAATTCTTGAAGTAAAGAGGACGATGCTGTAACGCTGCAGCTAGCTGTTAGGATTATTCTTTCAATAATAGCCTTTTTATGAGAAATAGTAACCCTACTGTTGTGGACTTCCATCCTCCGTGCTTCGTAATATCAGTCATATTTGCTCCTGATTCAGCTAGCAAAGAAACAGAAGACCTTCTGAAACGGTGATCTATATATTCCTTTGGTTTCGGGAGGTTCAGAATCTCAGCAAAGGTAGAGGGCATTTTACCAAACGTGTTCATACCAACTGGGTTGGCACTGCATTCATAATTTAAGTATTTCAGAAAAAAACGCCAGGACCCGACGTTTTTCAGTCACCTTGGTGCTTCAATCATTGACCACATTCTATGCTCTGAGAGCCTAGTGGACCTGGTTGATGGCAGGGCTAACAGGGATCACTTTCCTCTCCTCGTTAGAACCACCCTCAATATTCAAGTCCCATCAACCCCGGAAACCATCTCCTACAAAAGCCATAGATTCACAGACATAAAACGATTCCAAAGCATCATCAACAAAACACTCCCACTCCTAGACACTCCTTCCCTCAACCATCCTAGAAAAATCAATTCTCAAATTGACAAAATACACAAATTAGCACTGACTCTGATGACATAGCCACCCCAACCACCAAAAAAGAATTGATCAACCCTCACTTCCTCCACATCTAATATTCCTCATTAGGTTGGAACAGATACCCTATATCAAAAACCGAATGGAACCGGCTGAACGCTCGCATATCAACCAATTTATCCAGAGAAGATGGAGGGAGAAGACCAAAAATTTGGACTATAGGAACGGAACTGCATTCTGAAATAAATTCCAAACCTTACCAGACAAAACCAAAAACCGTCAGTCATCTAGAGATTGACGGCAATACTATTTCCAATCCATCGGACAAAGGAGAAGCTTTCCGCGATTCCCTGAGCCGTACATACCAACTATCGATCGACGCACAATTCGACAACCGACACTTACACCATGTCCAACAACAAGTTTTCGCTCACCTGGACAGTCATCCTGGCCAATTTCCCCACCCCCCTCACTCCCCCGACCCATCTCCATTCAGCAAGGAAGATATCCCTCAAGCTATCCACAAAAGTAGAAATATCGCTCCTGGTCCTGACTCGGTAAATCGCCGAGTACTAGAAAACCTCCTTGATACTTCACTGCCTTCCCTCAAACACATCCTAGATGTATGTTTGCGTACTTTCCAACCGACTGGTAACTGGCTAATATTATCCTGATTCTCAAACCACAAAAAGACCACACCAATCCCGACTCCTACAGACACATCAGCCTACTCAGCTGTCTCGAAAAACTCCTCGAGAGGCTAATGAATAACTGATTAAACGAATGTTTACACGACAACGACATCATCCCCCCTCGCCAACATGGTTTCAGACCTGAACACTCCATCCAAAACGCACTAGTCGAACTTCATACGCACATTTCCCAAATTATCAACTATTTCTATGGTACAGTCGCCATTCTCCTAGACATCCAGAAAGCTTTCGACAAGATCTGGCATGCGGGCCTGATCTGGAAGCTTATCCAAATTTAACTCCCTCTGCATTTCATTAGAATAGTAGCCTCCTATCTCACTAAT